TTTCGAACATCTTGACTCAAAATTAACGAAAAATCACATACTTAAATTGTTCTCACATCTTTATGTGATCTATTACTTAAAAAAAAAAGAGTTTTAACCTTATTATCTTATCTAGGAGTTATTAACGTTTATCACGACCGCAATTCACGATAGTTTCCTTGTATAACCTACATGACTATCAAGCTATAAAAATATGCAAGTCTCGCACGTGTCAGTTCAGTGAGACACGTCTTAGCATAAAAGTCACGAGTACTTCTTCAATATTACACATGCAGTGCTTTATATTGTCGATCCCGCGATAAAGAATATATATATATATATATATATATATATATATATATATATATATATATATATATATATTACATATATTACATAATATTATAATATAATTTTTTATCATTATTATCTTCACCACTACATTTTAGAAAACACACAAAACCAAAAACCACTTGTTTAAAATATACCACTTGTTTAATGTATAACAATTACACATTTTGCAATAATAACAAAGTCACGTTTTGCAGTTTTGATAAGAATGATCTGAAAGTGTCTGTCGGCACTCACAATTCCTGCGGGTGGGACGCAACAACTACGATTTTCTCTGTTGAAGAAATTTTTCCACATCCGAGCTACGACAGGCGAACGAACTTTGCCGATATTATGCTGGTCAAATTGGTGATGAAGATTACCTTCAATCAATTTGTCAGACCAATTTGTTTGCCAAAAAGTGGTAACCACTGTAATTTATCTCATAAATACGTTTTTTTTGTGACAAACATGTAACTAAAAGAAATTATTCGTAATTGTTCGTAATAATCCATATTATCACGTAGGACTCGACGTCGTCTCTCGATTTGGGGGACAGTCCGTATCTGTACTTGGTTGGGGATTCTCAGAGAATAACTCTTTATTTAATACAAACTGTGGTCTACGCGTTGCCGATTTAATGTTATTTAACAGGAATAAATGTCCCACCAGCGTGTCGAGTTTAATCTGCGCTGGACATATGACAAAACCACGCGGGACTTGTGGGGTAAATAAGCAATTCCGACTTTTTCTCATTTACGCTTAGATTTCTGAAAATGAGCGTAATTTTTATCTTACTATTAGGTAGTCCGAAAATTCATGCATGACATTAATCACGTTTAAAATTTATATAATCCAGGGCGATAGCGGCGGTCCTCTTCAGTTATTAGCCGCGAATTACAAATACATTTTAATAGGTCAGTAGTGACACGAGTGATCGAGCATTACTAACAGAAAATTAATAAAATCTATTTTGCAGGGATAACTTCCAGTGGATATATATGCGCTAACGTGAACGATCCGGATTTCTACACGGACGTCGCGCGAATGATTCCGTGGATATTGAAGACAACGAAAGATGACTCTAATTATTGTTGGAACTGATCGTCGACCTCCGTTGCGAAATTTGTAAAGGAGTATTTAGCAAAAAAATAAATGAACTTTGCGCTGTTTGTTTCGCAAACGACGAATTCTCTGTTGTATATTCTTGCGAATTTCCCTACATTTAAGCGCAGGTGTCGAAGGCCCTTTCATGATACGTCTATCAGCGCTGTCGCGCCGCATAAACCTCGTTGGCCGCATTGTGTGCTGTCCATAACTCGTAAACTAAACTCTCGAGTATATCTGACCGCTGGCGTCCACGATATGATATCTGCAGGGCCGTGTTCGTTCATCTGGGTATCTGGGCCGAAGCAAGAGAACGGGGTGATTCGTTCATTGATAAACCCGTTCGTTTAACTTGAAATATGCTCATGTCGAAGCTACTTACGTCAGCAATGACAATTCACACAAATGTGAATTACAATGCTCATTTGCTGCGAATCGCAACATCACCTTCCGCTACTAGTCACGAAAGCACTCATACGTATGTAAACTTACGGACCTGAGAATTACAGAGAAGAGACAGCTGTTTCCCGATCCTCCCCTTTTCACGCGTCTATGCTTTTACATCCTCCATCTCTCTTTTTATGCATTGAACTTTGACAGCAGGCACAATCATTTCTGTAGGGAACCCTTATAGGAATTTATCGTTCATATCTTCCTAACACGTTTCCGCCGTTTTGAAAGCAATATATAACACTTTCGAGGGTGAACAGGCGGCGACTATAAAATTTGCGACCCCTACTCGAACGGGTGTACCACGACGTGGAAAATAAAAAATTCAACTACCATATATACACGGGACATTAATTAATTTCAGAAATACATTATCGACAAGCGCGAAGTCTGCTGCAAAAGTTCTCGCAGTAAAAACTTTTTTGATCTACGGGAGTATTTCTCTTACATTTTATAAAAGAGAACACGCATTATAAAATTTACATTTTACGGCTAATCTGAATTGCAGGAGTTGGACTTTTTTTGCGCCATGCTGATCAGACTGCTGATACGATAGAATCTGTTGTGTGATGTGTCAAGCGCGTTAATGAGAATGGCGCTTTTATAGGCGCACGCTTCTCGCGTTATTAAACGCCGACGAGGCGATACGCGGATACGCGTATCGCTTCGCCGACGAAACTGCGGCATCGGAATTAATTCTCGTTGTTATTCATGGGTACGATATAGTTTAGCGTACTCACAGTGTCGCGCTCAGTCACCGCCACGCGCCGTTTTCAGCAGGTGAAAAAGTCTCGCAGAGGAAGTCTCGCGCAAACATGGAGCCCCGATGGAGTCTGGCCGCGATCGGTGCTCTTCTGCTGATCCTAGACGTTCGTTGAGAGAGTAATTAAACGAAATTATCACGGGCCGATAATCGACACGACGCATCAATCAAAATTACGTTGCGCTCATTTTCAGGCGGCATGCGCGCGGGATCGTCAGCTGCTCATACGAATGAATACGGAGTGCGGTAATGATCGAAGCGGAATTTATGCAAGTAGTCATACGCGATTCGAAGTTCGCACGGATATCGTGCGATCGGACACTAACGTTAATAATTCCTTTCCAGAAATCGATCTGAGGAAGCTCCTTTCTCAATTAAATCACATTTTGATTCTTCTTACAATTTTTGCTCGGCTTTTATAGACTTTTATTTTTATTATTCGTGACTTTTAACCTCAGACTCTTTGTAATTATTATTTCCATTAAATTAATTCAGCATCAGCCTATATGCTTTAGCAATTATTTTCGAAAACACTTTTGCGCGCTTTAACTAAATTTTACAAAACGAAACTTCACGTTTACACTTGATCGCAAAAATTAACACGTTGACGGATCATGAGTGATCAGCGCTATGATATCTCATTAATTTATGTATATAAAATATATGCCAATAAAAATACCAATCGAATATGTAGTAATAAAGAGTTGAAAGGAATAACAAACAGATGCATCATGAATAGTAATTATCTTCTGCAATTTTGATAATCCAAACTTTAAAAATAATTGCGATGAAAGTGTAAATTTTTGTCTAGAATTAATGAGAATTATATCGTGGCAGCCAACGTGTTAAATTGACTTTAAAAACGACGAAGCTGGAATGGCGCGTCGACGTGAAATTTTTTTCCAGGGAAATATTCCGAGCGAATATCAATCCCGAAGTTTTCAATAGGTCTACACAAAGGTGCAACGTTCGTACAATAACGTTATACGCTTTTCGATCAACTTCTACGTGTACATTGCACATCGGACTTTTAATCGATTTGTTCGCTCCCTTTCTGCGATAGAATGCGGAATATCGGGAGGAATATCGAATCGCATCGTCGGCGGGACTATCACGATCCCGCACCTGTTTCCTTGGGCGGTGGCGATATTCAACAAGGATGAGTTTCACTGCGGTGGCACTTTGATCAACAACAGATACGTGCTCACAGCTGGGCATTGTGTCAGATGGTATTCTATCTGTTTTTGCTTGCTCCAGCCACAATCGAGAGCGACAATTATTGTTGTGAAGCTTCTCACAGAAAATCCGTTCAGCCGCTACCGAGGCTGCAGCACAGCTCACGTGTTTTCGCGTGCCAAAATAATACATGCTTTATTCACGGAATGAACACACATCTCGCTATATAAACTATTCTGATTTCCGGACGCGCTCTCTTGCGTTTTGCACAGGACGAATCATGCCGACCTCTCGCTCGGTTTGGGAATGCACGACATTGAGGCCGCGAACGAGGGATTCTTAGCTCCGATCGATAAAGTGATCCTACACGAAAACTTCGAAAGCGATTACATCCACGACACGAACGACATTGCTCTAATTCGCTTGCGAAATTCAGTGAAATTCGATGAAAATGTGAAACCCGTATGCCTACCGCATAAAGGTTCGTTTCCTGTAATCTTCTTACGCTTGACACACTTTAACGAGTCGAACTGACGATATTTGCTTGCCTCTGTTCTCCTCTCTCTTTGTCGTAATCTCTGATGAATCTGAGGAAGATCAATAGGAACGTATCTTCGACAATAGGTTCCGATTACACGGGACACAATGTTCAAGTTATCGGATGGGGACGTGTCACCACCAAAGGCGGCGCCTCCAGGTTCCTGCGTCAAGCTACCCTGAAAGTTATGTCTCACGAAGCGTGCAAGAACACTTCGTTTGGCGATCATGTGACGACATCGATGATATGCGCTTATAACGACGATACCGATGCCTGCCAGGTATCGTGACACACTGTGATCATCTTGACACTTCGATATCGACGTGACCCTGTCGTTTAATTTCCTTATCACACGTCCAATCTTAGAAACTTTTACTTATATATATATATATATATATATATATATATATATATATATATATATATTCTTTAATTATTTTAATATATATATTTATTTATTTATTAGATATAGAAATTGCACAAACTATATATAACAAATGTAAAACGAAGAATCGTTTCAGAGTACACGTATTGTTCGTTTAATAATAGTCGATTATCTATTATAAATGTGGCGTTTAATTTCTCGCTCAAAATTTTAGGGTGACAGCGGCGGACCTCTTTTATACGGAAGGCCAGACGGAAAGTACGAAGTGATCGGTAAGAATATTATTGAGAGACTATATTATTTCCGTGTAAAATTTAACTCGTATTCTCCAATTAAATGCCATTTTTAAAGCGCTTGTGATAAACACGTGCTTTAAAAACACGATATGCGTTATATATATTTTTTTTTTTTTAACGCAATATATATCATCGTCACGTAACGAGTTTATTTTCTCCAGATATATACGTTCCACGCATTTTTTAGTCGCGTCTTTCGAATTAAATATCGAAAGAATTGTCGGCAGACGAAATTATGTTGCGAGAGATATACATACATTTAAAAATCATGGCGCAGGATTATTTTCTTTCTTGTTCTGGCAGGTGTAGTTTCCTGGGGCATCGGATGCGCCAAACGCGGAATCCCGGGTGTCTATGTAAAGAACATGGATTACTTGAATTGGATTAGGCGTAACAGTAAGGACGCTGTTTACTGTGTGGATGGCTAAGCTATTACGGTTTCCTATAGCGGATATAGGTAGTGAATATGATCGAAGAAACATTCGGATATAATAAATAACTTAAAACATGTAATAGGAGATAAGACAATCTCTCTCTTTGCATTGGATCGGACGATTTTCGAATTAAAGAAAACACGTTTCGATTATAAAATCCAATATGCAAACGGCTTCGACTGTTCATTATCGTCATCATCAGAACAAATGTTTCAAATACAATACGCCCGTAATCGTTTATTTGGCTTTTGAATCAAATACAATATCTCGTGTCATGTGTAATCTAACAGTTCCTTAAAGCGCGATAAGCTTGAAATAGTCAAGTCACGAACGCAATGCACGACACGAGCACTTCACTATAGGTATTAGCACGGTCCGTAATAATCGCGATTCTTTTTACGTCGTTAACGGGTCGCCACGGTAGGCGTTTTCAATCTTATTTTATCATTCGCATTATTACTTTTGTTGCGTTGACGATAACGTCAACGATCGCTCGACGGAGTAGTTAGAGAACTGATTAAAAAGCATAAAATATCATCGTTACTATAACCACAATAGTGCAATGTTCCGGGAGAAATAGAAGTTGGGTGCAGCTTGTTATGTCCTTTGCTTCTCATGTACAAGATCGTGGGATAAACAATTCTAATAGAATCCTTTCGTGAAAGATTAAATTTGACCAATTTAAAACTAATTCTTTCTCAACTCTGTGAGCTATTCAAATACATATAATTTTCAAGTTACATTCAGGAGATTATAAGCGAAAAGAAATCAAATTTCTCTGTAATATATATAATTCCAGAATTTATCAAAAAATCCTTCATTTTTAATAAAAGTCGGAAAACTCTCGTATTGCTGTTTTCTTTTTATGAAGACAGATCTCAACATTTTTCTCATGCATTATTCTTCTTATCGCAACATTTACAGACAGAATTTTCGCAATGTAAATCTTACGTCAAAAAGTAATTTCAAAGCGATTAAGAAAAATAAATGTGCATTTAGCATTTATTTAATAAAAATGTACAAGTAATTCACAGAAATTTTCGACTTTTATACATTAATTAATAAACAGCTTCAGCAGCAAAGTATTCTTATCTTATTAAGTCGAGTTGTTTCCGGATTACTGTCTCTGGGGTTTACATAAACGTACGTTTACGTTCACAGTGTGTTCACCGGATATTAAATCTATTATAAATTGTATGTAAAAACTTACAAGAGAAGTTAACCGTGAATTTTATTTGGATACAACTGGACTATTGGATATAACTGGACGGTTTTACGCTAGAAAACTAATACGGTGTTGAAAAACGTTGACGCAGCAAATTATTAAATTAAACTGAATGTTTGTTTACACAAACATTCGAGTAGAGATGTAATACTATGTTCTTATCCGATGAATTTCGATGTGTATTCGAAATCATGTAACAATCCTTTACACAACTAAACTTTATAAGCTAAGGAGAATAAAAGCGAATTTAACAATTCTTTGTAACGAGCAATTATTATCAACTGTATCGAGACAAAAAGTACATATTATTTCTTAAGACAAAAATAGCAAAAGAGAAAAAAGTGACAATATATTTAGCGAGACAGAATTGAGTGCAGTCGTGGAAATAATTGTGTTGTTAAATATACGAATAGCGTATACTATAAAATACATCACATATACTATATATGTATTACCTACACGCAATAGGTAAAATAATAATTATATCGTAGAAAGTATTAATTTCCAAAGCAGCAACGAAACGAAAATTTATCTGGATTTATCGCGGTCGTACATCAAGTATATGATCTTTCTTCTTTATGAGATACATGATTAACATTTTATAGAATTCACTAGCTATATCTATGAAATAATCCCGCTTCTTCAAAACGCATGGTGCACAGAAAAAAAGATTTGGTTTAACTAAATATCTGGTAAAATATAAATGAACCAAAATTCCAGTTGAAAACGAATTCTGTTAACGAGATTGCTGGTTAAATCACAAACTACAAATCTCACAAACTTACGTTTATTAGAGATGAATTAAGGAACTATCGAGTTAATAAAATAAATAATGTATACAAAAGGCAGTTCAAAATTTGTAAACTTAAACATGAAAGCGACTAAATAAAAATTGTGAACCGAAATTTATTAAATAAAAAAGTAATTTATAAATCACGAAATGTAATTAAATTAATTAATAATCGACTCTAATCAGTAGATTGTCTGTACCAAAAATTGTGTTATACTTCGCAGTCATATCTCTATAGTTGCAATGAAAATCCAATATAAGCATTGTGATGAGTAACAAAATACTTAATACGATATAAAAAAAGCAACATAGATGTTCTTTTTAGTGTTGTGTATAATTGTACATTAGTGTTGTGTAGTTTACATGAGAATCCGGAAGAAATGATTTGTTTGAAAGTTAGAGAACGTTGCAAACATATTAAACCAGAATTTTTATCATATTTTGTCTCGTCCGGAAATTATAATTCTTAAATGTCCGTGTGTGTTCGTGCGATAGAAAATTTCTCACGATTTTTTTAACGATTGACAATACACTTCACATTTCATAAGTGATAAATTATTCATTTAATCCGCAATTTTTCTCACGAAATAAAAGCATAATTACTCTATTTATCTATAATAATATAGTCTCTGATATCACCAAGCATTTATATCATGTATAACATACATGCTATAAAATATACCATTTATAGCATACATGCTATAACATATACCATGTTATTGCATGTATTACTCATAAATTTCGATATCCCGCAAGATTCGACTCGCAAAAACGTGAGACAATCCTTAAAATCTTAATGATTATTATATATATGCTGGAAGTATGCTCTTAAATATAAAATATATTACACCTGCAGTACTATGGTACAGACATTATAAAACTTGTGATACTCTACTCGCATTAATATATGACATGAGTAACGTTGGCGTTACATTGCGACGTAACGGCTTCTTCGAGTGTGCAATCCAGCTTCCGATAGCTGGCTGTGCTCGGCCGACGTCTACCACGACTATTCCTTGATCTTCGTCCTTCTAATACAATAGCAAGTATCTGGAAACACGAAGGGACTTTTACAAATGACATTTGGTGTAGTTGTAAGTGTCAGACAAATGTGCGCGAGATAAATTCACCTTCTGCTTATTATGATAACCTATGTAACAAGCGATACACGCTACAGTGGTCACGGTGAAGTAAGTGAAGAAATGAGAATCGCCTTCAGTACTTATATTGTGGTATCGTACGTTATTCTTCTGTTCACTGGGTTCCTGTAGATTTTCATTTTGATTTCCTGCAAGTATATTATTACATTATTACTTACTATATAATCAGCTAAGGTAAAAGTATCAATACCAAACAAGCATCTAATATTAGATATTCTTATTGTTTTGCTCCTTAAATATAAATATTTAAATTTTCAACATTATATATATATATATATATATATATATATATAATGTTGAAAGAGTTAAATATTCATGTTTAAAGACTAAACAACAAGAATATCCAGGATTAGGATACATATCCGCGAATTATCTTTGATATAAAAAAAGAAAATATTTTGCAATATTCTTTTACCTGTCTCTATTGGTTGTGGAATCGTGTCATCAGTATCTGGAAATTATATACATATTAAGTTTGTAGAGAATGTTAAGAATTACGGGAAAAACAGCAATTGAATTCATTACTGTGAAATGCATTCTGCGACAGAATAAAATTTTATATAGATCGTTTCCAAGATATATATAAAATTTTATTCACTCTAAAAAATAAAATGGTGTTGTTTACGTTGTACAAAAGTATACAGCAAAATATAGGTACAAATCTATTCTTGTTACATTTAATCAATATGATAATTTTTCCATGTCACGAGTGCTCAAAATAAATTATACAAACGCGTATTTGTGAATGTTAATATATTCTCAGTAATAATACCAATAGTGTCTCCCATATCATCGTCCTCATTGCCAGCACCATAATGGTCCTGTGTGTTTTCAGAAAGTGTACTAGTCTTTGTGTCTTCGACCTCTGACTTCCTGTCAGCTTCTTCCGCGTTTGTCTCTTTCATAACTTCTTTTGTATTTATATCTTCTTTGCTTGGCACATTGTCCGGAGCCTTTGGAGCTTCGGCATTAGTTTCAGCTTTAACATTACTAATATTCTCTTTACCTTTCTCATGTAGGTTATGATCTAACAGTTTTGGAGAAGTATCGTTCAATATTTTCTGGGTTTCATGTTTGTTCGATTTTTCGAAATCAGATTCGACTTTTTCCGTATTAGATTGCGTGTGTTCATTCAGTACACCATTAGAAACATCCTTTGACTTGTCATGTGATTGATCTTTGGGTTCTTTTACTTCAGGTTTCTTCTTAACTGCTTCCTGTTCAGTTTCCAGTTTCGTGTTAACTGACTGATGATCTGGCATCTGCACCACATCAAGCGGCACAGGATTGTGATTTGTTACCGGTGCGTTGTTTATTTCATCGTCAATGCTCTTGATCCAAGCAAATACCGCGCATAATGGACGGAAGATAAAGTTCATGTCGAAGCATATTCTCTGGCACATGTGAGGCTTACTGAGCCTATCAACCAATGGTCCCCAGTATAATTTTACTTTATCGTATTGCAACGTGAATCCCTGCAAATTGTCCTCGCAGTATTTAGCATCTTTATTTTCCGTATTCCCGAGAGACTTTTCACCAGGAAAAAATTTCTCTATACTTGAATTAAATATTGCTACATTATTAAGGGGAATTTGTAAATGATTAGAATATTTGCAAATTTTGTACGCCGTATCGTAAACTCCCAAGCACAGATACTTGTCTAAGGTATCCTCTTTGGTGTCCCAAAATTGAGTGGGATATTCCAACGTTGTGCAATTTTTTATGTATACTGATTCGTATAAAACTTTAATGTCGTTGCATAAATTCGAGTCCTTCTTCATGATATCAACGACACTTGTCTCTTGCGTCGGTAAGCTTGTCACCATCACGGAAGAAAGGAGTAGAACGAAGAGATCCGGCACACAATTAACGCGAAACAAATGAGCGTTGCGGTTCTCCATTATTCTCTTTTTTCTTTTTGAAACGACTTTTTAAGTCCCTGTCACGCGGACTGATGAAATTGTAGACACTGTTTCTCTATCGATTGACGAACATAGTTTCCGTGCTCCGTTGACTTCAATTCTCGCTGATCATTCTCTCACGAGAAATCAGCACCTTCGCCACGCACGATTCGCGTTACAAGAACGTAATAATCCGACTAGGACACTTTACCCTCACATAACCTCTGTCGTGTGATTTTCCTGTTTCTGAGAACACTCGATATGCCGTCAGTCGCGCGTGGTTGCGTCGAGTCTATGTGACGCGTTGCGCCACTCGAAAAGTAGCGTTACTATATAGAATTCTGTTTGTCAGCTTTATTTTAATACTGGCTACATGCTGTTATTCGTTGCCAGTATCAAAAACGTACAGTTATTCACTGCCAGTATTAGTAGCAACGTTATTTTACCTTTGAATAAGATTGAATAAATGATAACTAGTAATAAATAACAGAACGTGGCCGTTATCTCGAATTTTTATCTCATTAATTGCATCGTTCTTTACTGTTAATATCACGGCAATAACATTAAATTCAGTGAGTAACAAAGCAGTGTTGCTGATACTGGTAGCGAACTCGACTGCCAGTAACTAATGGCTGCTTCCTATTCAGCTCTCGAGTTTCGACAGTCGATCAACGTTAGCAGTGTGCTCTTCCCTGTTACTTAGGAATGTAGTTTCTAAAATATCCGCTACGATTCGCCACCGTCCCAAATGGGAACTTTCGATAATAGCACGACTTAACAAGTCAAGCAGACCTTCTAATTTCCAATTAGTATTATATAACGGTTAGTTACGAGACCTTTTAATTTTCAACTAATGCAACTTAGCGACAAATTGGACGATTTTTCTTTTTTTTTCAATTAGTACAAATTAAAGGACAAACGAATTCTTTACAGTTAGCAGCACGAAATAAAAGTCCTCAAAAGAAAATGGGACAAGTAAAAGTGAAATAAACAAAAAATCATCGCACTGTTTTCACCTGCCGCATATTCAGGCCAAACTTGAAATTACATTCAGCCTAGTAACCTAAAATGTAAACACCCAATTATGTCCCGTTACATCCTGCACAATCCCATCTTACATTTTAAAACATAATGAAAAAGAAAGAACACTGTTAAATCATGCGACAAGCCAAGGAACGCAAGCAAAAAGTGATCGATCCGTCGAAACTAGAAAAAACAGCGCGGAAAGTCGCGGCGATGGAAGCGAAGAGACAGAAAGTCATAAACGAGGTGGAACTTTCCTTAAAGAGTAGACGATTCGAGAGGAAAGCGATAGAAAATGCGCGTCTCGATATGGAAGAGAGTATTCGACGGAAAGAGATCAGGGATGCGAAAAAATTGCGCGGCGAGAAAGCGATGGTGCAGGTTGCAGCGCAATCTATTTTTTCATTATTTCGTTTTGCATAAAAATTATTATTATCCATTCGCAATTGAATTCCCTGATTATTTTAAATAATACACGTATCAGATAAAACCTTCGTACATACTAATTTTTTTTTGAAAAGACACAGATGTTACCTTCCAGACTTGCAATAACATTTATCAACGATTCTTATAAATTATTGATGAGACCTTTCATTTCTATCCCCTATCGTGAAAAAGTTAATATTATCACAATGGCACAGTCCGGTGTCATAATATTAATATTATAATATTGTATATTCACGATAACGGAATAACGCATGCACTTTTTAAGCACCTTTCCCGATGCTATTAATAACTGCAGATCCGGCAAGATCTACGTAGCATTATCGAAGCAGGTATAAAGTCCATTCAGCCGTCGGCGATTGTATCAGAGAAGATCAAGTACGACGGTCGCGCGACGATGACAATTAAAGACGCCAAGTATAAAATAAAGAATAATTTGCATATCGTCGGCTGGGGCAAGGAAGCAGGTGTCATGAGCACGGCGTTCGAGAGGATAGTCGGCAGACAATTGAAAAAAGGATTTATAGTGGTGCCTCGCAAGTCGATCTCTACGATGTGGAGCTACCCGGAAGCGTTTCCGAAGTTGGACAGTCGTATAAACTTCGTCGAGGTCGGGACGGACGGACTACCGGACGACGGGGCGGTAGATATCGCGCGGAAAATCGCGAATTACTGTAAACGACTGAAGAAACGCGATCTACTGATAGTTATGCTGTCGCGAGATTCCGACGATCTCTTGTGCTGCCCGCAGGATACAATTACACTGAGAGATAAGTTAAGAGTTCTCAACAGGTTAAAAGCTGCTAACGCGACTCCCGGAGAAATCAATATCGTGAGGAATAAACTTTCTGCGATAAGAGGTAAGTGGTTCAGTCAGGTGCGAGAGAATTTTATTAATCGCCGATGGAAGTTTTACTAACTCGCATTTCGCCCCCCGCTGTTCCTTCGGAGGTCTCGGCGTAATCCCGTTAGAGACACGAATGTAATCTAACGGACGGCCTAATTCCATTGTCCTCATGACTAACTTTGTCGCTATTGAGATTCACTTATCTCGATCGTAATAATGACCTATATCCAACGATTTGATTAACGTACGACTAACTTAAGATTCCGTAACGTTAAATCTAAAAAGAATGTAAATCTACGTTAGATAAGACATTTAGGTAGATTTATTTTTAGAGTAAATTTTCCTCTCTCTTTCTCTCTCTGCTCTCCACTTTCTGCCAGCGATAATATTACCGAGAAAAACTTGCTTTCGATCGATCGACAACGTGTCCCGTAACATACACGTGTCTCCTCGCGTTTCTGACGGGAACGAGCGAACAAATTGCGTTGAGCCCTACCGAAAACAAGTTTATCCAATAGAATAATCGCGACACGAACGGTGGATACAATAGGAGAAAAATTTCCAGGCGGCGATCTAGCGCGTCTGGCTTATCCGGCTAAAGTCATCACCCTCTTCACGTCTGACGTGTCAGCAGAACCGCCGGAACAATTGGGAGGCGGTCCATGCGTTTACGAGCAGAAGGACCAAAGGGGCCTGGCCGTCCTGAAGAAGTACAAACTTCTCGACAAAGTATCGCAGAGCGTTCGCGAGGTATTAGGGACGCCGAAGTCCGCGGAAACGCCGGCCGATGCCCAATTGAATGAGAACAGCAGGTACAAGTTCGTGGAGCAATACGTGATCGCGTGCAACGCGGACGCAATGGCGCACATGGCGACACAGGTCCTGCGACTGGGACTGTCCCCCTTGAAATTAGGGTCCACCTGCAGCGGCACCGTTCACGAATTCGCGCAGGAGTACGCGAAGATCGCGGCGCTAATGATCCTGGCGGTCGAGAGGAAAATTACCAGGTTGGAGTTGTATGAACAGATGAAGGAGAGCCCGGTGTGCTCGCTGACCGATCAGAAGGTGTGGGAGCTGTTTCCCACCGAGGACAAATGGGCTCTCGGGCTGTGCCTCCTGCTGGGAGGTCGACCGACCGTTCATCTCGGCGATGCGCATTCCGCCCAAAGTGGGCCCAATCAGGAACTCGCTCTCTACTTCTCCTTATATTGGTGCATGCGTACGAAGCAATATCCAATTTTGCGAGGATACACCGTCTGGTTCCTCGGCGGTAGCTCTTACGGGCGAGATGGCAATACCAGCGCAGCTGGCGCGTACGGATACAAGAGCCTTACCGAGGACGTTTATTCGGAATACGAAAAAGCGAGGAGCGCGCACAAGGCGGCTCTGCAGAAATTGCGGGAGCTCGTCGAAGACAAACAGAGCGAATCGGAGATCGCGGTAAGAACGCCACGACGCCAATAGTCTGCTTTATTTTTTACCGTGGCCGTGCTGAGTAAAAAGCGACGGCGGCGGTGGTGGCGGCGATGAAATATCGAAGCGTCGCGCCAGAAGAAGTCGATGGCATTGTCAAATTGACGCATGTAAAAAGAACGAGCGGATCGCGGGGTTTTCAGCGCGAAGTAACTCGTGTTATTCGCGGCGCAGCGCGATAATTCGTGCAAATCTGTCGCAGGAAGCCCGACGAGAGGTGGCGAACGCGCAGGATACGTGCGAGAAGTACGCGACCGTGCTGCCGGAACGAGTCTTGAGAGAGAACAACAGCAATTTGTTCTTCTCGTGTATCAACGACGGCGACGAGCTATTGCCGCCGAAAAGCCAAAATGATTACGCGGCCGTGGACGTCGGGGATCTTCACGTTATACGAATCGCACGCTACCAGTGCAGCTGCAGCGGCGACTGTCACGCGGATGAAGATGGGACGCGCACCGATAGAGAGCACCCTGTCAATCGCACGTTATCAGCGACGGCGGAGCCAGTGTTACAATATTGTTGTCGGGTCGCGGCACCGGAGAGCTGTTGATTATTTACGAGTCCGTCGCGGGCCGGATTTCGCAATGGATTTTGCCCGACCCGGCTCGACTCGAAATTCGCACGCGACCAACCGAACGCCGATTCCTTGTTACGGCACGCACAGACGCATCTCATTTGCCATTTGACGTGACGCGTTAAAGTTTCACGAAGCACTCGTGAGTGTATCTGCGCGCGCGATAAACGCGCGTCCAATTTCAAAGGATCGGAGAAACGCTCGCGAACACCGCGCTTCCACGTCGCGATAGACAGAGTTTTGGCGAGAGTCGCGTATCGCGAATTTTTGTCACGGCAGCGGTAATCTAACGGATAACGTATGCGAATCCCGGTGAATATTTCTGAACGCCTTGACGTTCCTCCCTGGCTCACGTGCGAATATTTCATCGCCGACGCGATAACAAATCGCGCGTTCTCAGAATAGAAGCGAGCGATGCATTGTATCTCTATCTTGCGATTCTGAAATTTACAACGATATGCGCGTCAACATCTCGCTGTAATTCAAACGTTCTTTCTCACTGAAACGCCGCGCCGAAACCGCGTTCGTCTAAGGGATTTTCGCGGCGGGATAAATCGCAGGTTGAATTTGTCGCCGTCATTGCGACCACGAATGGTCGAACGAGTGAATATTCTGTTTATCAAACGCAACTTGCTAATAACGCCTATCTTATTTGCCTTTCTCTTTCTCTCTCTCCCTCCCTACCTACTTGCCTCTATTTCTCTATGCACAGCTGTCTGCACTATTGATAACTTATTGATTCCTGTGGCCTTTTGTGCACTATGTGCGCGTTTCTGCATGCCACTTCTATCGCGAATCATGCATATTTCCAACTAAATCGCGAACCATTTAATATTTCGTCCTTTCAGTCGACAATAATCTTCCCAAAAGGTGCGCATCCACAGTTCACGATATCGAAAATCTCGAGCGACATTCAGAGGAATCCTTTTCGTAGTTTGCATCCCGATATTAAGCGCTACCGCGTTAGAGACGCGCAATCAAGGGACGTTTGTTAAGTTTCCTTTGGCAAACCTAAATCTGTCGTTGCAGGCGAAATGATTCCTATTGAGCGATTGGCCGTTCGGGCGAGAAGAAACGAAACGAAAGTCCCAAGAAGCTCATTTCGCCCTACCTTGACATAATAGAGATCTTCTAGCTCGGCATGTCCCCTGGGCGCGGTACCAATCCCGTTCAACAAAGCCCTGGGAATGGACTCACCTACCTCGACGACATATCCGCAATATAGAGCAGCTCTGAGTGCGTTCTTTCTTGCCGTTTCTTCGCGAGCGAGCCCAAAAATGCCCCTTGAGAACACCACTTACAGAATGCGTGCGCGAACTCCCGATATTTAACATTGTCCCATTTAATCCGAGTCGGCTCGCCCGCTGCCGCTCGGAAAATTGTAATTGACACTGATGTCGGCGCACTGCCAATAATTCTCGGTGTATTGATTTACTTAACTGGCTATTAAATCGATTATCACGGTAAATATATTAAATATATTATATTGTCATTAAATGAATCTTTCATTAGTCACTTAAATACATAGAGAAAATTCGTTCTATTGGTGAAATGATCTCATCGTCTATTAATATTCTTGCTCAACGGAAATGTCTGATAATGTGTTAAAATCTTTGAATATCTCTCAAATGTTCTTATGGATATCTTGTTCGATGTACATTCAACTGAATTACAAATTCCCGGAAGATACGATGGAAAAAAACGTTTCAACGTTTCAACGTTTCAACGATATTTCAAGTTTCTATCATTATATAGTCAAGTAACGACAAAAAGAAATTTATCTGAAAAAATCACAACTTCTCCAACCTCGCCTTGTGTCGACCTGCTTTGACTTATTGACATATTTATCACGCGAACTGCACAGGCTGGCTCTACAGAGCAAGTGCACGTAAAAAAGAACTCCAAGTACGACTGTAAAAAATCATATCTTACGATGAGGCGACAGTCTAGTATAGGATGCAACCATTTTTATGGCCTTATCTCCACTCCCGTGACCTCGCATTTACGATTATGCGCGGTACCGTATAAATTTAGTTCGACATTGTGATCCCTCAAGTAGTTCGTTGAATCTCTCCCGTGCAGCAACATACATCTCACAATGAAGTATCTCGCATTATTCTGCATCTTCCTCATACTCGTGCAATATTCGATGCAAGTGCCGAAATACGGTGAGCAAATTTATTTTTTGATAATCTTGACTTCCCCTCTAGTTTGTGAGAACAATCAACAATACGTGTATATATATATACATTTGAAATTTTTCTAAAGGATAAGAGAATTTTATCATTGTTTTCTCCTCTCGAATTTCGGTATATCACGAAAATTATTTCAGAAAACTGCAACAGAGAGGTACTTTCTGGAGCAGATAGGCAAAGATGTGTGAAAGTGACATGTACGTCGCAGAATAAATACAACGTACAAGAGTAAGTGCGACATATAATGCGGCTTTATACTGTTGCATATACATTACGTACCATTAAAATGTTTAGTTGTTAACATACAATTAACATATATCATGGTTACCTGCATCAGATGTAGCTGTGACAAAGACGCGGGACTACACCTAGGAGATCGTCATTCCGAGTATCCCGCTTGTTGTCCGCGATGCAGTGGCAGCAAGAGACATTAGATATATAATGTACACGTCCACGTTCCGAATATACAAATAAAGGAAATATTATTGATATATCTAGTTATAAATAAATTTTCAATGCACGCATTTTTCAAAATAAAGCGCGAGAAACACAAATCAATATCAGAATTACATTTTTCAGTTAATTTCAAAGTAATTTAATTTCAACGTAGCTCTTTTATCACACACACACACACACAGTTGTCAGCATATTTAATATTAATAATTCAATATTTGCGTTCAAAAATGGTCTCATCCAAGTTTTCCTGTGCAAAAACAAATTCCAGGTTGATCAAAAAATTCATGCGCATTCGAGCGAAAGGTCAAAGCATCCTCTCTAAAAAAGCATATTGTGAGATAGATAAAAATAGAAAAGAGAGGAAATATTCAGTCTTACGATTTCAAGTGGCAATATTTTCATCATTGTTTCGAATAAAAATACTTTATAAAGTTACTAGCTAAATGGTGCGCGCATAGGGTACGCCTGTGTTGATTTAGTAAAAAAACATTTTAAATGAAATAAATGTAATCAACGAGCAAAACACAAAACGCGGTATTTATGTAATGTATGTTCGCATAACCATTTTTGCCCGATATTTGTGTATAAATGCAAAATTGTTGAGAAATCGCTGAATCGCTAAGATTATACACATGCAATCTAATATATCCGTATAAAAATTAGCATTTTCTTTTGCTCTAATCTTTTCCACAACGATCAAAGTTCATAATAATATACATGTAACGATACGGAGGGAATCGCTCTCGCGTATATTCTTTCTCACGAGCTACGCTTGTCCTATTTACTCAAGATAATCCAGTAAGATGAAACACTTCGGATCATTGTGCATACTTCTCATCCCCGTTGGCGTCTGTACGCAAATTCCAAAATACGGTACGATATTAATCAGGCTAATCCACGTTCTCTATTTACCTGTTAAAGTCGAAAACTCTTTGACAAATTAATATTATACTCTTTTGTTACATATACGTCGCGATACGAAATGCCCTATTTTTCCCCATTAATCGAGATAATGTAGCATCAAATAAGAAATTGTTTAAAAAAAAGAATGATTTCGTTTAGATATGAAATTCATGTTTGCTGTTTTCTAGAATAGAAAATTATTTGGTGGAATGAGATATCTTTTATTTTAAAATAAATTGTACGATTATTCTAAATCAATTACGGTTTTATCATGAAAAATAGTGCATTCCACGTAAAAATATGCCAAACTTTTTCAAGATTAAAAAATACCGCGATAATAAAAAATTACAGGTAGAAATTTTTAAATATAAATAAAAGTGCATTAGTTGCATTTTGTACGTTGTATCAATACTTCACGCATTGGAAATTCGTCAAAATGCAAAATTTTATGAAGAATGGTTCTCTGGAGTATAATGGCCGGCGAAATCTTGATTAAGCATGAAGCGGAGTATATTTCACGTAGTATAGAGGCAACCAACCGAGAGGAGCCATCGCTGTACATTTGCATGTCTCTGCAGAGAAGCCACGGCTAAATATGCACCGCTCGTTACTTAACCAACCGCCAAGCAGCGTCGGTGAAGCTCTGCCTCTGCAACTACAGATCCACCGCGAAATTCTACCGTGCTTACACGCACTATGTTGTTCTCCACGATTTCGTGTTGAAGCGCCTTAATTCAGAGAGCGGTTTGATTACTTATGACTTGACATTTATCGCATAAAATTACCCGATACTTTTACTAAGGTTCCGTCCCGTCGTTTGTTGCCTATCTTCATTTCTTTTTGTAGGCCGCATAGGAATTGATCCACAAACGTTACAAGTATGCTAATATCGTAGAAGGCAGAATTCGTCGTATATAAAGCGTAGTGTTGCATGTTCTTCCTTAGCTGCAAGAATCGAATATTAAAAAAGAAAAAAATGTCTCCATCCACTTAAACCTTGAAATAGAGATGATTTTTAGTCACAAAATCTAATAAATTAGAAATGTATTAATGTAATTGCAGATGTGTGTAATTTACGTAAATTAAATTTTACTAAATACAATAAAGCTTCTTGCAGTTCATCTATCTTCGAAAAAGAGAAAAATTATATAATAGTTATGACATTCATTTTCTTCCTCTCTTTTTCTCTTTCAATTAGAAAGATGTGAGAAATATACGAAAAATATACGAAAAATAATTATTTCAATTGAACATATATGATCATTGAAATTAGCGCAAAAATATGGTTCATACAAGACCCATATTTTATGTGTAACGATCTAATAATTTTGACGTTGACGTTGCGTTGCATAACTATGACCTTATCTGCGCGCACTTTTCCACGTGCCTCTTTCCTGTTAAATCTACAATGCAAATCGTATAGCGGACAAAAATGCTCACGATCCAGGCTTGAAGAGATGACATATGCTGTATAGATATATTTTTTTTTCGCCCCAGATATCTCCGACTAAAATACATGAAATATAAGAGGAGCGGCAAATTTCCATATAAATCTCACAGCATTGTTCTTTTGCGCTGGAAGAACTGACAGACTGTGGAATAAGCGTTCGCAATGATATATTGCCTTAAAACAGATTAAACTAGTTGGCCCGATACGGCCAACGGGGTTATGATGCTATCCAAAGGATACGCGACGCGCGAGATTTTTCTTCATTAAAGTCGCGGTGGCGGTGCGCCAAGCGAACGGTGCGTTTAAGCGACGCGTAATTTATTCGACTAAAAATAAAAGCCTTTTCTTTTTCTCGTGCGCGCGAAAGTCGCGGGGAACGTTTCTAAAATATCTCTTTGCGCGCGCAGTCGCTTTTCAAATAGAATCCTCAAATATTTAGCAGTGCCTCGCTTAAAGAGATATAACTGTACACACTTCTACCCTCTACTCCATGTGAAAATAAAACGATTCCTCACAGATACTAACGAACGATGAGGGATGATGACGTATCATGTCATCGAGACCGCAGATACATCGAGCTTTTGTGGTGAAGGACCACCCTTGTATCTTGATCGATCAAGCATCGGACGAAATTACCGATATAATTGAATTATGTTTATGATTTGAAATAAACACGAGGAGGCCGGACAGCCTCTGGCCCTATTGGTTGACTGATTATGGAATAATTGGATTGGCAGACGGCAGCAATTCTAGTCGATGCCAACGTGTCGTCATATATCCCGGCGAGTCGCGTGAGTGAGCGGAATTAACGCGGAAAAATGAAACTGCCGAAACTTTTATGAATTCGTACATTCTCGCATTCGCGGCGGTTTTTCTGTCGTGCCTGCCGAACGAATCACGCATCTCTCTCCCCTCTGGCCACCCAATGACGCACCATGTCGATGACCTAAACGCGACAATGTAACTTGCAACGAGTAATAACTTGTGCAAAAATGCTCTCGACGTAGAGAGAAAGAAAAAGGTAGCGAAAGAGGAAAATAGAAAGAAAAAAGAAAGAAGGCGACCTCGGGAGGGAGATGTAGATTGTGTAGATGGAAAGTATCTCGCGCAAGCAGCTTCGCAAATACCGCGCTAGGTGGATCTAATTGCGAGCTGCATTTCATCCCCGGCTGGAAAAATCTCCAGAGACACGCGACAAAGGTAGTGCCGGTACTGACGGTAGATAAGGTACGCGAGGTACTCACCGCGCGGCACGCGTTTCGTTGCGCGACGGCTTGAGAAATGATGTAAGAGATTATCAACCTGAATTAATGCCCGGCATAGGACGCACTGGCGCACGAGGAAATCTCTTGTTTAAAAAAGCGAATCATTAATTCACACCGCGAGCGCGCTGGGAACTGTGAGCAACCGCGTATAAATAGGAGCAAGGAAGCGGCATATACATCGTGGAATCACTTAGGAATTGCAACTGTGACGCAATCTGTACGTTTCACTGCGTGGAATAAATGCAGAAACGAGCTGTTTCCATCCAGGCTAAAAACATCTTTAAAAAAAAAAAAAAGAAAAGGAAAAAAGAGAAGAGAGGCAGAAAGAATATTAAGAATCAGCTTGGACACTCATAGAGAAGATATTTTAGAAATGTTCACGATGTATGATAAAGCATTTCGGTAGAAAGCGTGAACGCGTAAAATGCAAATAAAATTTAACAGGTTGCTAAAAGGACAATGACGACAAATTGCATCTTTAAATTATCAGAGTCGAAGAAACGTGATGCGGCACGAAGACACAGAACTTTTTTTATTTGATTTGAAGTTTGACCCGGAATTCGTCTTTGCACTGCTACCCGTACCAATCCAATCATCATCGGTTTGTGCCTTCGAACTTCTATTGACAACTGCACGGCCGACCGCTTTGGGTTAAGCAGAATGGAATTGTACGAACCTAGGTCAGCGATTCTGAATGCTCCGGATTGCTTAAACTCTTGAGAAAACAAACCGTGGACCCCATTTCCATCCCTTACGTTCCCGTTCCGAGAGGCGGGAGATGATTTTCGATCATTCTGATTATACCTCGATATGCTCGGGTATTTGTAGGTCAGTATTTAATGAATGTTTTTTTCTTTAAGTATTCATCGTTTCTGTTGTATGTGAAATAGAAATAGACATCTGACAAAATCAACGTGTAAAGAGACACGTGTGAATTACATTTCATAATATTTTATCTTATTTGATATATATTTTTATATTTAATACACTATAAGATCTGTTCCACGCGTTTAATAAACTTTTTATTAATTATTAATTATTATTTATTAATTATTTACAATATACACGATCCCATATCCATATACACACAGTATTATTTAAGAATATATAACCTGTTAAATGTTAACTAAAAATTCGTAATAAATTTATAGGAATTAATAAACTGTATCGTGTAAAGGAACCTCTTTTATGCGTGTTATGTCGAAAGCACGCGTGCTATGTCGAAAATGGCGAATTTTATTAAAATGTATTTTTCCTATGAAAATAATATCACGGGTTTTATATAATGAGTATGCATAGTAAAGTTATTAACGGCAGTACGAAGTATTGTGTATATAACGTGAAATATATCTTTGTTATTATATTGTTTGCTGGGCAATTAAAAAATTTGTTACGTTGTGATTAAAAGATAGACGCG